GGGTTGTTCAATAATGTAACTGTTTGTCTTCCCATCTGGAGCAATCGTTTCACTAATATCGTTGATCTTGGAATTAGGCTGCTTCATAGTAGCTTTTATGTCCACGTAGCTACTCATAACGCACGGTTTAGCTTCCAGGGGTTGTTCAATAATGTAACTGTTTGTCTTCCCATCTGGAGCAATCGTTTCACTAATATCGTTGATCTTGGAATTAGGCTGCTTCATAGAAAAACCAGTAGCTTTTATGTCCACGTAGCTACTCTGTGACGCACGGTTTAGCTTCCAGGGGTTGTTCAATAATGTAACTGTTTGTCTTCCCATCTGGAGCAATCGTTGATCTTGGAATTAGGCTGCTTCATAGAAAAACCAGTAGCTTTTATGTCCACGTAGCTACTCTGTGACGCACGGTTTAGCTTCCAGGGGTTGTTCAATAATGTAACTGTTTGTCTTCCCATCTGGAGCAATCGTTTCACTAATATCGTTGATCTTGGAATTAGGCTGCTCAACACAAACATGTGACAAAAGTTCTAGGTTTTTTTATTTCAATCTTTATAGATGTTTTAAATTCCTGTCCAATAATCTTCAACGGGAGTATTTTATAATACATACATTATGCTACAGTGGAAACCTCGAGCAAGAAAAAAAAATACTTCAAGCACAGCAAAAAGCATATACAGAATATAATGTCAGTGAAACTGATAACAGAAAAGCTTGTTTGACATAAATGATTGAGAAAAACTTTTACACATAAATACCATACCACTTCAAACTGATTTCTGTGCTTCATTTTTACATTTATGACAGTGGTACACATTAATAAAGACCAACCAGAACAAGAAAATAGGAAGCAAAATATCATCCTGATCTGTATTACTCATATGAGCTGTCATCATTTGGAAGGATGAATTGTTTTAGAACACAGATATATGTAAGAATTATGTCAAGAAGACACACAGAACAAGTGCACAAGAGAAGCAGCTTTGTCCTGGAAAACACTTGTCTAGTATGCAGTAATTAAGTAAGTAGGCTAGTAATGAACACATATAATATAATCACAACTACATTATGATAGTTACTAATGTATTTCATATCACCTGGTATACTTGCACCACCTAATAAGCAATACACACTTCTTAAATGCATAGAAAAATCTACTTATTAAAAGTATAGCCAAAGAAAATGTTTTTTAACAATTCAGGTTTTGAAAAAGAACCCAGCACACAATTCATACATGTTCTTGTTTACAAGAAGACAATGTATATAAATATTCTTCACCTTTAGCCTTCAAATTACCCATGCTACATTAGTCACCCCACCCCCCACCTCCAGGAAATATTCTGAAAGAGAAACCCCCTGCAATACAGTTCTTTCACACAGACTTAATATCTAGTCTTACTCCTTTGATGTTTACTTACACAGGTAAGAAAATAAGCCACTTCATTTAATTCAACAGATGATCTACAAGAACTTTAGTTTTAGTGTAATTTGGATAAAAGTGGTTTACATGTAGTTATGGTGACATACCAGATATACTTGATCCTCACTTTATTATTCAACAAATATGATATCACATATGGAATGCCTAGAAGTTACTTTACTATTTATATCATAAAATCAAAGCTGCAGAAGTACTGCTAACCTTATAAATATTCTGAAAATACAGATGTATGATTGAAAGGCACATGAAACTTCAGTTTTTTTTTAATTGACTGAATGTGCTTAGAAAGATAGGTTATGCTAATTTTTTGTACAGATATTTTAAAATATCAATTTCGTCTAAATTAATTTTATGGAGTTAATTCTGAAGTTAAAATTAAAAAGATATACTTTAATATTTCAAAGGTCTTAGAAACATTTTCCCCATTAAAGCAAATACAAATAAAATAATAACACTATGTACAAATAGATGTGTCTTTAAAGTTGCAAGTGCAATACTAGTAAAAGTATTTAAAATATTGAATTATTCCACTTCTTATGAGCTTCTTTATACTTCAAGATACTGATCAGACTTGGAAATAGCTTACTTTTACTCAAATCTAGGGGAACTTCAACGTTTATATTGAAACACCATCTTTCCGTACAGTATATCAGTAATTATTTGATTTTATCTCTTGATCATTGGACATATTGATCTCATAGAAACGTAAATGAAACTAGTAAAAAAATAAGAGGAAGTTTAAAATCTAATCATAAACCATTAGAAGGAAATTTTATAGTATATAATCAAAAAACAATAATAATTCAAAGGTCCTAAAGAAATAGGTTTTGTGGTATCTATTAATGTGATTATTAGATATAACTTTTGTAAACAAAATATACTAATGGCATGCATTCCTTTTTTCTCACTCTCTACTACATAGAAAGTAAATTTGAAGCTAATAAAAACACAAAATTGTTTAAAATATAAACGAAAACAAATTAAGATACACATTTACTTTACATTAAAATGCTAATACAGTAGAACAAAAAAAAACAAAACAACACATGCCTAACACTTTATGGCGCCATCTTTTAGCAATTAGAAGAAATACTATATTGTGATTACTATAAACTAATAAATCAGTTTTTTAATGAAACAATATAGAAACTATGCTTTTTAATACTTTTGTTCCCTTTAACTAAAGGCTTTAAGTCTTCACTCAGTATAAATAACTAACATGCAAGACAAAAGTTAGGATAATTGAATTAAAGCATTAGAACAAATACTAAACCATATAACTAAATAATTATATTACAAAAACTTATATATAGTTATTTTGGGATTTTATTCGTAACTTTAAAATCTACACATGAAGAAAGAAAACTGACCTTCAGTGACCGAGATATCTTCGACGTTGTCAGTAAGTTTGCTATCCTCCTCAGTAGATGACGCCACACTACGTAAACTGGCCTAAAAAAAGAAAAGCTTGTCAAAGTAATTCCACAAGTTCGAAAAAGAACATATTATATCTACTTTCATTTAATTATTCAAAATATGTATAACGAATAATGGATTTAATTATTTCATTTACTTTTCAACCGAAATTACCAAACTGTTTTTTGTTTGTTTGAAAAGGGTAACTCAAACATTCAACGTACTTTTTAAATAATAGTGAAATTCAAGACTGTAATTCTTGGAAATCACCATAACAGTTTATTTTGTTTTTATTTCGCGCAAAGCTACACGAGGGTTATCTGCGCTAGCTGTCCCTAATTTAGCAGTGTAACTCTAGAGGGAAGGCAGCTAGTCCCACCGCCAACTCTTGGGCTACTCTTTTACCAGCGAATAGTGGGATTGAACTCACATTATAACGACCCCACGGCTGAAAGGGTGAACATGTTTGGTGTGACGGGGATTCGAACCCGCGACCCTCAGATTGCGAGTCGAGCGCCCTAACCACTTGGCCATGCCGGCCCCAGCATGACAGACAAACCACATAAGACAAATCTATATCCACCACGTCTAATGGAAGTTAGTAAAGACTTTACAAACAATATACGAGAAGATTTTATACGTTATTGCTCACTGACGAGATTAACTCGTCACATAATTGAGATGGACGTTGGGATATTTTAACAACGACACCCAATAGTCCATCCGTATCAACAAATATAAGCATACCGGCAACATTATTTCACACATAAAACTTTTGTAACAAAAGGCTTAAGAAGAAAACACAACCATATTTTCAATAAACTGCTATTCTGTTGGTCCTATTGATAAAAAATATGAATACGTGCAATGATCGAGAAAACATTTTCGGAGCTTAAGCTACAGGATACGCGGAGAGTGATGTATATGGTTTTTCTATGAAGAACCTTAGAGAACCTTACAGGTATGTGCCAGCTTGTATGTGTTTAAATCATTGGAGAACATTACAAGTAAACAGGTAATGCCAGCTTGTATGTAGTTATCTCATTGAAGAATATTACAAGTAAACAGGTAGTGACAGCTTGTATGTGTTTAGATCATTGAAGAATATTACAAGTAAACAGGTAGTGACAGCTTGTATGTAGTTATCTCATTGAAGAATATTACAAGTAAACAGGTAGTGACAGCTTGTATGTAGTTATATCATTGGAGAACATTACAAGTAAACAGGTAATGCCAGCTTGTATATGTTTAAATCATTGGAGAACATTACAAGCAAACAGGTAGTGCTAACTTGTATGTGTTTAAATCATTGGAGAACATTACAAGCAAACAGGGAGTGCCAGCTTGTATGTGTTTAAATCATTGGAGAACGTTACAAGTAAACAGGTAATGCCAGCTTGTATGTAGTTATATCATTGGAAAACATTACAAGTAAACAGGTAGTAACAGCTTGTATACGTTTA